GATTTTGTCTCTGTGTGTACACTCTTCACGTGCACTTTTCATTCTTTTAATCGCTAATTTTAAATTTTGAGAAAGATGCTTCAGCTCTGAAATGTAGCAGTAAAAGTTGTAAAAATAAATACGCTATTGCTTCTCAGCTGTTCACTGAAAAATATTTTAATGATTCATTTAGCAATCAGCTACTCAGCGTCAGAGTTGGAACTTGTTCACCACAGAAATATAATAGGTTTTGAATAGTTTAAAGATGAGCCTACAAAAATCTTGTGAAGAATGGTTTTTGTTCATCCTTTGCCATAAAATCTTTAATTAAGATGAATTAATTTGCCCCCCAAAATAAACATTTCTCTAAAATCAGGTAAGATACATTAATGCACAATCCACTAAAGGAATAAAGTGGCTTTATTTTTAAAAACGTGGAAAGGCAAACAGAAACTAGTAAGTATACCAAAAGCATAATGACTTCAATGCTAGCTAGGCTAAATAAACCATGACTACAGTTAATTTTGCCCACTGTGTATGCATGGAGAAAGTCAGTATTAAATAATTTTATACGCAACAATTACGACATTCTTTAGAGCAGGGGTCTTCAAACTTGACAGCTTATGGACTTCAACTTCGGAATTCCTCCTCCAGTCATGTTAGCTCAGGAATTCTGGGAGTTGAAGTCCACAAGTCTTAAACTTGCCAAGTTTGAAGACCCTTGCTTTAGAGCATCTCTGGGTTTGTCAAAATAAGAATCAATGAGCATTGCCACCTGACCCATGGATTGAGAAGATGATGGCTATTATTTTATTAAAACACATTTATTCCAATTTTATTCCACTTTTGAACTCAGTGGGCTACAGAATATTAATTTAAAGATGAACCCTACAGTAACACTAGGCGCAATTCACTGGTTGTCAACTATAAAGCCCTTTAACTCTTAGTATCTCGTTACTTATAGGATCAGCTTCCTCCTCTTTCTGTCTGACATATCTTGCCTGAAAGGCTTTCTACAGTCCAAGTCCCCTCTGTAAACACTGTCATCTTGAAGGAGAAGAGAATGAAATAGAAGTAGAAGTAAGACTAGACTAGACTTCTTTATTGGCCAAGTGTGACGGGACACACAAGGAATTTGTCTTGGTGCAAATGCTCTCAGTGTACATAAAAGAAAAGATCCATTTGTCAAGAATCATAAGGTACAACACTTAATAATAATCAAAGGGTACCAATCAAATCATACTAGGAAACAGTCAATAAAAATTGTAAGGATACAAGCGACAAAGTTACAGTCATACAGTCACAAGTGGGAGGGGATGGGTGATAAGGAGTGATGAGAAGATTTAACAGTAATAGTAGTGCAGACTTTGTAAATAGTTGGACAATGTAGTTTAGCAGAGTGATGGCGTTCAGGGAAAAACTGTCCCTGTGTCTAGTTGTTCTGGTGTGCAAGTGCTCTATCATGTCGTTTTGAGGGAAGGAGTTGAAACAATTTATGTCCGGGATGTGAGGGGTCTGTAAATATTTTCCCAGCCCTCTTTTTGACTTGTGCAGTATACAGGTCCTCAATTGAAGGCAGATGGGTAATAATTGTTTTTTCTGCAGTCCTAAATATCCTCTGAAGTCTGTGTCTGTCCTGTTGGGTTGCAGAACCAAACCAGACAGTTATAGAGATGCAGATGACAGACTCAATAATTCCTCTGTAGAACTGGATCAGCAGCTCCTTGGGCAGTTTGAGCTTTCTGAGTTGGCACAGGAAGAACATTCTTTGTTGTGCTTTTTTGATGACATTTTTGATGTTTTAGGTCTTGTGATATGATAGACTAGACTAATTGAAGAGAACAGGAATAGAACAGACAAGTGATTGTCCAATCTCTTCTTAAAACCTCCAGTGATAAAGCATTATGTCTTCTGAAGGCAAGCCTGATTGATTATCTATAGGATCAGCCTTGGGAGGAGGAAGAGCAAAGAAAGCAGCCGATGTGATTTGAGACTTGCAAGATTGATGTCAGTCCTTCAAGGTAACCCAGACAAGAAACTAACATCATAAGAAATGGCAGACCTTTTTTAGGAGGCTATAATAACATAATCTATTGAGGTGCTTTCCACACCCCCATTTCTTCTGTGAACTTAGGAGACAGGCCTTTTCTCTTAAGCTGTGTGTGTACCCTATAAAACAATATCCTCCCAAAGTGATGGAAATGGTATGTGAGAACGACCTTGGGACACAGAGGGAGGAGCCACAGTTGGGGGAATGATTGGATAAGATAAGAAGTAGCTTAGCCCACAGAAGGAATGTAGGTGTGCAAACGACTCAGAAGGGGCCCTTCCCAGTTTCTTGGGCTGTAAAGACGACAGGGAAGAAAGATTCTTTCAGACTTGCAAGACTCTGTTTACAATAAAGTGGCATTAGTTCATTTAGGGTGTGCCTCCTATCTGGATTACATCGCAAGGTATATATGAGCCATACAATGTTGGTTCTTTCATAAAGCTATAAAAAGACAGTTCTAATGAAGGGTAACCTGCTCCCTGATTCTAACAGATAATCAGAGTTGAAAGGGACCTTGTAGGTCATCTAGTCCAATCCCCTGCACAAGCAGGAGACCCTACACCATTTCTGACAAATGGCAGTCCAATCTCTTTTTGAAAGCTTCCAGTGATGAAGCTCTCACAACTTCTGAGGGCAAGCTGTTTCATTGGTTGATTGTTCTCACTGTCAGAAAGTTTCTCCTTATTTCCAGATTAAATCTCTCCTTGTTCAGCTCCCATCCATTGTTCCTTGTCTGGCCTTTGGGTGCTTTGGAAAATAGCTTGACCCCTTCCTCCTCTCTGTGGCAGCCCCTCAAATATTGGAAGACTGCTATCATATCTCCCCTGGTCCTTCTCTTCACTAGACTGGTCATGCCCATTTCCTGTATAGTTCATTCTGGTTGGTATGAATAGGTGTGAGTTGATTGTCCATCTCTAGTGCATGATATACATTTATGTCTTTTGTTGTTTCTATAACCTGTTTTCTGATTTAATCATAATAGTAAGGTGCGTAGAGTCGCACCGCTGATGGAAGGGGCTATTGGCTGGCAGGCTAGCTGACAGATGGAAGGACAGTATTATAGAAAATAGCTAGGCAAGTAAATGATCATCAAATACTCAGAAAGAACTCCATGTTGAGAGAGAGAGAGAAAGCTAACCACTTCACAAATAGATAAAACAGATTGGCAGAATACCTAAGTACTTAATGGGAAGAATGAATGGATGGTTTCAAAAGGGCACCAATTGGCCTAATATTTTGCTGCATGGTATTTTTCATTTATCTGAGCTGATCTGGGAATATGCCCAATTTCAGCCAAAGCTAGAAAAACCGTCATAGATACCAACAAGTAAAAGAAATGGTAGCATTGAATTGTGTACCTATTTTGTGTTGATGTTTCATTTCCTTGGATAGGTTACATTAAATACCTCATTCAGATTTATCACGGTAGGCAGCCCTTGACTATGATGATTTTTCTGCATCCCGCAAAGGGGGCTTCCCTTGCTTACGTGGACCGGTTTCCAGCATGCTGCAGCCCAGTTCTGGTCCACAGAACAGGAGTTGGGGACCCCTGCTTTATGGAACATACATATACACCTACATTGAAGTGTTAAGAATGAAGGTGTTGTGGCCTGATGGCTTCCAGCACCTCCAGCAGACAGAGAGAGAGAGAGACAGAGACAGAGACACAGAGAGAGACAGAGAGACACAGAGAAAGAAAAAGAGACAGAGAGAGAGACAGAGAGACAGAGGTGGAGTCTGGGCCATCCATCAGCCTTCAGATGGAGAGTCAACAGCCACCAGGTCGAGAGGTGGCTGATAAGGAAGAGGAGGAACAGCTGGTCCAGTGTCTGATGCACAGATGCAAAGACAGAGGAGAGGAGAGCAGTGGAAATCTCTGGGCCGGTCCTTGGGATGGAAGAGCTACTGCTGATAGTGAGGCCCCACCCTAGTTCTAGGGATAAAAGGCAGGGGGCAGAGATAAACAGTCTGGCAGACAACTATTCATCTCCCTGCAGGACAGACTTGCTAATCTGCGGTGAGAGAGAAACTATTTGCTGGGGCTCCTAATAAAGGAATCATTGATTTAAATACAGAGGGTTTGTCCTGTCTGGGGAGCTAGGTTGGAACAGAAGGTTTTTAAAGTCACCTTTATGGAGTATGAAAGTACTGAGAGAGAGAGAAAATATATGGGAGGAAAAAATGTGACTGTCTTCTTATGTTCTGCTACCCTGGGATGGACATTGTCCGCATGTAACTTGCAAATCAAAGGAAACAGACAGAACACACAATATATTCCATATGTACTTCTGACCTCAAGGAGCTGGGAAGAATGGAATCCACAGATGGGAAAAGAAAAGAGACCAAACCTTTCTATTTCCTTCCAGGAAGCAGAATGGCATATTGGTGGGAAGAAAAACGAAATGCTGTATGGTAAGAAAACCATGTGCATAAAACAGAGGCACAGAAACAGAGAAAAGATAAATGACAGACTCTTTTAACTTCTCTTACTGGACAGAAGTCCCTTAAGCGTAAACTATTAAGTCCATCCCTTTAAACGAGAAGAGGGCACTCCTGACTGAAGTAGAAGACAGAGGAATAAAGAAGTCAACAGAAAAATCCTCAGAAAATTAAGGGATTCCCGTAACCTTCCCAGCTGGCTTCCAACAAGCAAGTCAATGGGGAAAGCCAGATATGCACAATAGCAATAGCACTTAGACTTATATACCTCTTCATAGTGCTTTACTGCCCTCTCTAAGCGGTTTACAGAGTCAGCATATTGCCCCCAACAATTTTGGGTCCTCATTTTACCCACCTCGGAAGGATGGAAGGCTGAGTCATCCTTGAGCCTGGTGAGATTTGTACTGCCAAATTGCAGGCAGTCAGCAGTCAGCAGAAGTAGCCTGCAGTACTGCTTTCTAACCACTGCACCACCACAGCTCTTAGTATATAAGTAACAGATACTGACACTAGTTTTGCTTGTGATTCTTACCTCTTTTTGGTCAAGTTGCAAAGAGGATTTTATCAAGTCCCTCAATGCAGTAAGTTGCTTCTTTTCTTCATCTTGTGTCTGTTTTATCTAGAGCAAAAATATCCACAATTTGTTACATTTCTTTATTATTTGGATCAACACCAATATACTGAACTGTCTTTGTATAATGTTAGATTTTTATCCTACCTTTAGTTAGTATATAAGTAATCCAAGGCAGAGTACATACCTAATATTCCCTCCTCTCTATTTTCCCCATAACAATAAACCTGTGAGGCAACTTTGGCTGAGTCTGGTTTTCATGCGTAAGGTACGACTAGAACTCACAGTCTCCTGCTGATTGGCCCAGTCACCCAGCAGGCTTTCACACCTAAGGCGGGACTAGAACTCATAGACTTCTGCTGATTGGTCACCTGACTGGCTTTCATACCTAAGGTGGGACTAGAACTTGGAGTCTCCTGGTAATTAGCCCAAAGTCACCCAACTGGCTTTCATGGTTAGGGAAGAACTAGAATTCAGCCTCCTAGTTCCTAGCCTAATACTTTAATCATCTACAGTGGAAATTATTATTTTTTTTGCTTTTTCCCCCTCTTCATTATTTCTTATCTGAAAACCATAATGAACTCAGTCCAGAAGGGAAGTTTTGAGAGTTGCAGATTTTCTTTACACATTTTTCCCCACAATATATATTCAAAACAAGCTACATTGAAGAAGTATGTTCAGTCTCTTTTAAAAGAACCAGTCAGTTTCAAAAAGTTACTGATCCCTTGGTTTGACCACTAAGTACACCATTCCTCACACTACAAACACCATTTTACAACACTAGCCCTTTATACATTAACTGACTGCACATAAGATTCTCAGAACAGCAGGCCTGGGCTAGTTATTAACCTAGGTACATAAGAATATAGGATGGCCTTTGACTTTATGCTTAGTTATCTTTTTTCTAGAAATATAGTTGGACTAAAAAAGAAAATTGCTGTAACAAATTCCCAAAATAACATTGAAAATACGTCTTAATATCCAAATGGATGCAAGGCACAGGAGTTTCAAGGAAGTCCACACTTTAAGGTACTTCAACTCCCAGAATTCCCCAGGCAGAAGTTGGCTGGGGAATTCTGGGAGTTGAAGTCCACTCATTTAAAGTTGCCAAGGTTGAGAAAGATTGGCTTAAGAGCTCCCCAGAAGTTTCTAAAATTATAATTATGTTATTTATTTCTATAACACACCATGACAGAGCTGATCTACCAGAGGGCTATTCAAATGTGTAGCCAGCCAAATACTTTTATTTTTCAAGCAATATAGGAGAATGGACTCACCATAACACAGTAGAAACGATGTCCTTCCACTTGAGGTTATAGTTGTAAATCCATGTCATTCTTAACAATCTGAACAAACTAGTCTAGCTGGTTTAAAAAAAAACCAGAAAGTTGGCAAGGCCAGCTAGTCCATTTGCAACAGTAATTTTGTGAACCCTACCTCACTTTTAATTCTTGGCTATGTGTACCCCACCACAGGCAATTCTCAAATAGGCCCTATCTTATGGATGACTTACGTTATATAAATCAGCAGCTAGCTTTTCAATGTACTGTTTGAGTTTATCAGCTGTCTTCAAGCCATCTTGAAAGAAACTATAATGAAAATAAAATGTTATTTATCAACAACGTTGGAATCGGGTTTTAAATTTCACAGTATTTCCCATCCACCCAATACATAGGATAGCCCCATTCCACACTACCTCATGTCAACAGAGAACCAGAGATAGATGGCTCTGTTTCTGAGGTGAAGATACTCATTCTCATTGTGAGGTTTCTAGATTCTTACAATATTTCATTTTTAATACTGAGTTTAATTTTTTTATGATTATGTGGGTGTGCATGGTCTTTTCTATCTGATTGTTGTAAACCACCCAGAGTTACTTTACATGAGACGGATAGCCATATAAATTTGACTATAGAATGTTTAGAATAGAATAACACCTTGGACGTCTTCTAGTTCAACCCCCTGCCTTAGGCAGGAAACCCTACACCACTTCAGACAAATGCCTGTCCTCAATCTACAACCATTTGTTTAGTGACTGTTCGGTGTAGTGACTTATGACCGGTTTTTCACACTTATGACCACTGCAGCATCCCCATTGTCAAGTGATCAAAATTTAGGCAGTTGGCATCTATTAATGGCTATTGCAGTGTCCTGGGTCAGTTGATCACATTTTCAACCTTCTGACAAGCAACGTCCAAGGGGAAACAAGATTCATCAAATGAGCGCAGGATTCCCTTAACAAACTACAGGCCAGGCCATAGCAAATTTCCTTCGATGCGGATTATTTCTTGCATTCAAGGCAGCTTTTTCTTCTCTTTCCAGATTATATCATGTCACCCCTTGACTCATTTTTCAAACCAGTTAATATGACAGTGAAAGGATAATCAAATCAAACCTTCCACGCAGAAAACAACAGGAATTCAATATCTGTGACTTTGAACAAAGGGTGTTCAAAAAAAAATTTTTTTTTTAAATCAAGACATTTCCATACAAGCAGGTGATGTCATCCCTGAGGAGAAAAAGCCTTTTAAATTAAAAAAAAAAAAACACTGCAGATGAAGAGCTGAAAAAAATATACTCACTTGCATTGTGCATGATAATACTTAATAAGATTCTGTAAAAGGTCCACACCCTTTTTCGTCTTGATTTCATTAACCTTAATGAGATACTATGGAGAAGGGGAAAAATCAAAGCTCAGTAGATAATTATACATTTGGGCCTAGCTGCATTCAAAGGAAGGTTCTATTTGAAATCTATTTTAACAAATTTAGCAATTATCTTGCAAGTTGTTTACAGCTAGCATCTGAAGGCACCCTGCTAATATGTGATTAAAATCGTGCTGTATATAGAACAGTAAAACATAGCAAGGATATTTTACATTAAGCCAATACTGTGGTGAATAGTACTTTCTAAGTTGTCTAATGCATTTGTTATTTCTTCCTT